TCTTTCTCCCGCAGAACAGCTGGTAGTTTCGGACTGCTGACCTTGTGGTTCACAGCCCAATTTGTATATATATATATACACACACACACATTATAAACACATGCACACACACACACACACACACACACACACACACACACACACCAAACCAAACCTCTGCCATCGAGTTGATTCCACCTCATAAGGCCCTGCCGAGTGAAACGGCCCATAGAGTCTCCACAGCTGTCATCTTTTTCTGAATTCTTAGCTTTATTAGTTTTCGTCAAGCCTGAGTTTCAGCAGCCACATGTGGTGGGTGTATACTGTGCTCTGGGTGTAGGACCCTGTTTATTCCTCATCCTCATCCTTGTGGTACAGTTGGGTTCTCGTGGTCCATGCCGTGGGCCTCTCGGCCTTTCCCATCCAAACCTCGCAGTGACCCTGACACTATTGCTGGTGGTTGTTATTTGGTCTCGTCCAGTTGGTTCCACCTCACAATGCACATCAGAATGAACACTGCTCCACCCTGGCCACCCTCACAGTTGGTATGTCTCAGCCCCAGTGCCAATGCATCTTGTTGGGAAGCTTCACAGTGAGGTCCTTGACGAAGCGTGATGTCCTTCTCCAGGGACTGATCCAAAGTATAAGAGTTATCAATTACTGGTTCCATCCCATTTTATGGATGAGAAAGTGGAAGCCCAGGAAGACAGGTGGCAGGCATGTTCTCAGTTCCTGCTGTTGAGCAGTGTTTGGATGAGGCCAGTGTCTGGCTCGTTGATGGACACATTGAATTAGTGCCTTCTGTGAACCTGGCTTTGTGCTTGAACGTGAGGAGGGGAGCGGAAGGCAGACATGTTCTCAGAGCCCTGGGTTTCAGCTCTGCTACTGTGTGTGTAGGGTGAATTTTGAGGATTCTCGGAATCTCAGGCTCCTGATCTCTGAGAGGAGAGACCCCCGTGGACCCCAACGGCTGCTGTGCAGGGTGAGTGGGGCTCTTGGTGGCAGACAGGACTGGCCTCACAGAAGCAGGGAGCATGGATGGCAGTGGTGAGGTGAGGGGGGGTGGGCAGGAAGACACCCAGACAGCTCTGGAGTGAGCCCGCCTGCCGTGGGAGAGCCCAGAGAGTTGGTTTGTGGCGGATTATTTTGGGCATCTCCGACACCAAATTGCTAGTTCCATCTGCTTTCCTTCCTCTTGAAAGCCATTTTGAGCTCAAAGAAAGCCACAGATTCAGTGAGACACTCAGAGGAAACCTCCTGAGCCCACAGAGACCAGCCCAGTGTGGAGGGCAAGTAGAAGCCCTGGGCAGAGTGGCCACCCGCAGGGACCTGTGCTCCTGTGTAAGCTGACTGGGCTGTAACACCTGTCTCCCAGACCCAGAAACCTGCTCTTCCTTCCTCCCCTCCCTTTAAAGGAACCCTGGAGGTTCAGTGGGCTAAGCACATATCCACTGAACTCAAGGTTAGCGGTTCAAACCCACGAGCTGGTCCATGGAGGAAGCTGAGACCATCTGCTTCCATAAAGATTAACGGTCTTGGAAGCCCTCTGGGGCATATTCACTGTCCCACAGGGTTGCTGTGAGCCAGCATCTGAGATAGCGCGGGTTCGGTTCCAAGACACCGCAATAAAGCCAATTATCACCATAATGTGATCCACACACTTTTTTGTTTTCCCAGTGTGTGTGTAAGTGATGTTGACACCAGACTGCAGTCTCTTCAAGGAGACCTAGTGGCCTGTGGCCTAAATATCAGGCTGTTAACCATAAGGTTGGTGGGTTAAACCCACTACCCCTCCTTAGGAGACAGAGGAGACTCCCATGAAGATTTACAGTCTCAGAAAGCTTATATAGTGTCGCTATGAGTTGGAATGAGTTGATGGCACTGAATTTAGTGTGGCTTTAGGTAGTCTAGGTGTGGCGCTGTAAGATAAGCATGATCAGCGGTTCAAATCTACCAGCCGCTTGTCAGAAATCCTATATGGGGTCCCTATGAGTTGGAACAGACTCGGTGGCACTTAGCAACAACAACATGGAGAATTAAATCCCAGTAGGAGTTGATTTTTTAGGATTGTGGCGCAGAGACATGAAGTGAGCATGTGGTGTTGGAAAAACAGCGCTGACAGACTTGCTGACGCTGGGGTACCACCAACCTTCAATTGGCCAAACCCCACAATATCTGCACAGTGCAGTTAATGAAGCACAATAAAGTCAGCTCTGCCTGTACTGTGAGGATCTCGGGTAGCATTGTGGTTATGCGTTGGACTGCTAGCCTCAAGGTCAGCAGTTCGAGTCTACCAGCTGCCCCATAGGAGAAAGACGAGTCTTTCTGTTCCCATAAAGATTTAGAGCCCCAGAAACCTATACAGGGGTGCTATGAGTCGGCACCAACTTGATGGCATACCACTACCTGTATTATGAAGGGACATTTAGACAAAAACCCAACTGTAGACTGATGGAGAGGGGGTCCAAAGAGAGCCCCAGGTGCACTTGGGGTGGGGGTGAGGGGCGGCTGGCCCTGACATGCCCTCTCTTCCCTCAGGTGACCTGGAGACAGAGGACATGTTGCCATCCGGCCTGCCACCCACCTTCATCCATTTTGCCCACCACTCCTATGCCCAGATGGTGCGTATCCTAAGGAGGACAGCGTCCCGGTGCGCCCACATCGCTAAGACCTACAGCATTGGGCGCAGCTTCGACGGCAAGGAACTGCTGGTCATCGAGTTGTCAGGACGCCCTGGCCAGCACGAGCTGAGTAAGCCTCGGTCACTGAGGAACAGGGCGGACCCCTTCTGGACAGACCTGTGACCCTACAAGGCTGGTCAGGTCTGAATCAAAGCCGCAGGGTGTGGGGTCGGGGTGCAGGTGGGGGCTTCATGCACTGGGGACATGGCCACATTGCAGTGGATGCATATGTTGTTAGATACTGTCCAGCTGGTTCCGACCCATAGCTACCCTGTGTACAAAGGAACAACACACACCTGGTCCTGCACCATCCTCACCATTGGTAATACCAACCACATGAATCCATCTCATTGGGGAATTTCCTCTTTTTTTCAGACCCTCTACTTTGCCCAGCATGATGTCGTTTTCAAGTGACTGGCCCCTTCTGATAGCATGCACAGAGTACATTACACAATTCCTGGCTTCCAAGGAGCACTCTGAGGTCTTGCAACACAGATTTGTCTTGATTCCTTTTGGCAGTCGAGGGTACTTTTCATATACTTCTTCAGCACCATAGACAGTGACTAAGGAAGCCCGTAAAAGAATTGATGCTTCTGCTTATGGTGTTGGAGGAGATTATTGAAAGTACCATGGACTGCCAAAAGAACCAACAGATCTGTGTTGGAAGAAGTGCAACCAGAGTGCTCCTTGGAGGTCAGGATGGCCAAAGTTCGTCTCTCATACTTTGGACATATTGTCATGAGGGACCAGTCACTGGAGAAGGATATCATGTTTGGTAAGGTGGAGGGTAAGAGAAAAAGAGGAAGACCTCCAAGGAGATGGATTAGCCAGTGGCAGCATCGATGGACTCAAGCGTGGCAACAATTGTGAGGTTGGCCCAGGACTGGGCAATGTTTCATTCTGTTGTGTATAGGGTTGCTATGAGTCGGTGCCGACTCGATGGCATCTAACAACAGGAACACCACCACCATAACTCAGATGCATTGATTCTTCTAGTCTTCCTTATTCACTGTCCAACTTTCACATGCATCTGAGGCTATTAGAAAGACCATGAGTCAGGCTGTTTGGTTTCCTGATGCTTCCATGGATGTTGATTGTGAAGCCAAGTAAAATGAAATCTTCAACAACTTCAATCTTTATTTTTTTCTGTTTATTATGTTTTTTATTGGTCCAGTTGTGAAGATATTAATTTTCTTTATTGTGAAATGCAATCCAGACTGAAGGCTGTATTCTTTGATCTTCATTTCATCAGTAAGCACACTTCAAATCCCCTTCGCTTCTCAAGGTTGTGTGGTCTGTGTTTTGAAGGTTGTTGATGAGTCTTCCTCCAATTCTGATGCCACATTTTTCTACAGACAATCTAGTTCCTTGGATTATTTGCTCAGCACACAGAATGAAGGTTGTTGTTGTTGTTAAGTGACGTTGAGTCAGTTCCGGCTCATAGTGACCCTGTATAGAACTTCCAAGGAGCAGTTGGTGAGTTTGAACCAACGACCTTGTGGTTAGCAGTCCAGCTCTTATCCTATAGCACGATACCAGGATTTCGCAGATTGAATAAGTATACTGAAAGGCTACAACCCTGTTGCACACCTTTCCTGATTTTAAACCATTCAATGTTCCCTTGTCCTGTTCAAACAAGCTCTTGGTCTATGTACATAAGCACAATTAAGTGTTCCAGAATACTCATTCTCCACAATGTTGTCATAGTTTGTCATGATCCACACAGTCGATGCCTTTGTGTAATCAATAAAGCACAGGTAAACATCTTCCTGGAATTCTCTACTTTCATCCAAGACCCATTTGACATCAGTAATGGTATCCCTCATTCCATTTGTGTATGCCTTCCATCTTCATTTGATGTTTCCTGGTTTGGTGCAATAGGATAAGCACTGGACACTGAACCACAAGACCAGTGGTTCAAACCCCCAGCTGCTCCTCAGAAACCCTATACAGGGTCGCTGCGATTCGGAATCCAGTTTGAGTTTTTGGCAGTTCACCGTTGCAGCCATTTTTGAATTATCTTCAGCAAAATTTTAATTGCCTGTGATCATATCAATATTTTTTGATAATTTCTGTATTCTGTTGGGGCACCTGTCTTTGAAATGGGCATGGATATGTATTTTTTCTAATCAGTTTGGCCATGTAGTTGTCTTCCAAATTTCTTGGCCTAGCTGAGTGAACACCTTCACTACTGCATCAGTGTGTTGTAATTTATTAATTTGCATTCTGTCAATTCTGGAGCCTTGTTTTTCAATGCCCTCAGTGCAGCTTGTATTGGTTCTTGATCGTAAGCTACCTTTTGAAAGAATTTGAATTGGTACAGTGACTTTGTGTATTCCTTCCATCTTCATTTGATGTTTCCTGGTATGGTGCTGTAGGATAAGCACTGGACACTGAACCACAAGACCAGTGGTTCAAACCCACCAGCTGCTCCTCAGAAACCCTATACAGGGTCGCTGCGATTCGGAACTGACTTGATGGCTCTAACAACAACAACATCATTCAACATTTAGCCCATGGAATCCTTCAATATTGCAAATTGAGGCTTGATAGTTTCTTCACTTCTTTCAGCTTGAGAAATGCTGAGCACGTTCTTTCCTATTGGTTGTCTAACTCCAGATCTTTGCACATTTTGTTGTAATATTTGACTCTGTCTTCTTGAGCTGATCTTTGAAATTTTCTGTTCAGCTCTTGTACATCCTCATGCTTTCCATTTACTTTAGCATCTCTACACTGAAGAACAAGTTTCAGTGTCTCTTCTGACATCCATTTTGACCTTTTCCTTTTTTTTTTTTCCTTAAATGTTTTATTGTGAATTATGTGATAGTTTATATGGGAGAACATTAGTTTTACATTCATTCTATCATATATCGTCTCATTGCCATGGTTACA